CTCAATTCGGTTGTATTTTTTATACTTTTGAAAACTTTGAAGTGTTGGACCTTGAGCTCCGGAAGTAGAACAGGCAACTTCTTAAAATCAAAAAGAAAATGTATAGTGAGTAAAATACTTTAATTCCAACTAAACCTGTTATGTTTATTTATTACAAATTTACCTACTTTCCGGAAGACTCGTGTGTCGGAGATTAGTGGAAGCGTTTTTATCGAAACAATGTAAATTGAACGGTCGATGCCGATGTATCGATACACTATCTAATATTGTCTTATCATTGACCTTGGTCGAATGCAAATACTTTATATGTATAAATAGAAGTTGTTTCCTCAAAATCGAACCTCGCTAATACCGTCTATTGTTTGAGACTGTGACGTCATACGTAAGCATGCTGGTTTGGTTGTTTGGAATCACGGAAGAGTTTTCGTACAGTGAAGTTATTTTCGCGTACAGATTTCGAATGTGCCAGATTTGAAGTTGATGTTTAATTTGTCTTTGTGGTGGATTTCTACGAGATAATTCTACATCAATAGCAATCGTGTGTACTCCCTAAAACTTAACTATACCCAGCACCTATCTAAAGCACCAAAGTTGCGGAGGCGTTGCCAAACTTTAAAAATAGTAAACTCTCCCATTACCTCTCTTACTTACACAAATGATACTTCACGTGGTCCTCTATGAGGCCTTCTTTCTCTGCATGGGGCTGCCCATTCTTGCAACAGCGGAAACCATTATGAGGACCTACAGTGACACCGGTGCCACGAGTTTCGTTGTGTTTATCACTGCTATCAGTCGTGACGCTCGCGATTATAATCATGAATGTGCACCTTGACAAATAACCGTTTTTCTATTCTTAGTCTTTGGCGTTTTGCTCTAAACTATTTATGTATAAAATTGTTTTACAAGAATTATAAAATGATAATTCCAGTGGCTATTTTAAATTTAATGCCTATCATTTGTCGTAGTGCATTTTTATCATTAACTGTTTTTTTTTAACCATTGGCAAATAATGGCCATTTTAATTGTTTAATCTTACGAGTATGTGTACTACTCAGCAAGTGTACTTTCATTGTTGAAAGTACACTTTCCTCGGATTTTTTTTCTCTAGTCTTTAGTATTTTATCATAGTATCAGAATGACCTTCATTCGGTTTGTGGGAGACGCTCAATAAGAAATTAATAAATCTATTTCCAAGAAACTAGGGAATTAGAATATAATAATCATATTGAGAACAGCACTAGCATGATGTGAAATCTGCCTAAACAACTACAAATTGTTGAAAAAATTTTTGGATGAAATTTCCCGTAACCCAGACGTTGAAGGTTTTTCCAGCCTAAGCTCCCCTCAGGTTTGAAATAACTGTTTTTGTAGGTTACTCCAGAACAGAGACAACACAAGTATTCATGACAAGCTGTTTCTGTGTAAATTGAACTATAATAAATAACTAAAAATGCTAGGGACCTTCAAAAAGAGAGACCATTCCTTCCACGCGTTTTTGACTCCTCTGATACTGCGAGTACCCATGAACCCTCACAATTTCGAATCAATGTCCGCCAGCGCGTTTACCTCTTTTTCATTAAAAAAAAAACTGTCGGTACCCATAATTAACCGTCTGTTCCGTTACCATGGGTGCTGTAAATTGTTGGGAAATGAAGACGAATAGAACGCGGTAAAACGCTTAAGATGGTTTAATAGCAGTGTGGATTATTCGTGTGCAAGAAATCTACGGTTCAGCTAACTCGTCTATTGACAGAGCTTGGGTTTTAACTTAGAAATAGATTTATATCGAGGTGTCGAATAACGCCAGTCGACCGGGTAACACGACACTGAGCGTTGCGAACTCCCTCTAATACGTGTCGACCACAAACGGCCATTATTAGTGTTACTTAGCGCCTGCGGCTTCGCTTGCCTCCGCTTGAATTACATTTCTTGGATCATGCCATTTAAAACAATGGCCAAGGATTTCACTCTAAATGTGTCCATCGCAACCCGTGCATTTGTCGTTTCGCGATCTTGAGGTCCTTAATGTCTTGTTCGTGACGTAAGAACAAACTTATTGGTTTGTTCTTCAAACACACACTTCAGTAGTTTTTAGGGTTCCGTACCCAAAGGACCTTGTTACTAAGACTCCGCTCTCTGTCTGTCTGTCCGTCTGTCTGTCTGTCACTAGGGTATATCTTATGAACTGCGATAGTTAGACAGTTGAAATTCTTACAGATGATGTATTTCTGTTGCCGCTATAACAACAAATACTAACAAACAGAATATATAATATTTAAGTGAACCATTCAAAAGACACTTTTTGCCGTTTTTATAGACAATGGTACGGAACCCTTCGTGCGCAAGTCCGACTCGCACTTGGGCACGTTTTACAAATCGTGTCTAGCCCCACGCCGATTTGACACACGGCACGTCTGTTCCGCTCCAAATTAAAAGTAATTATGAAAAGTTTTGCAACAAATATGCGATTGCGGTGTAGTCGATAGTTATAAGAATGCTATTAGTATTATTAATAATACACATTTACTCGGCAATTGAAATTAAGTTTATCTCTGACTCCTATTGTTTATTCGTTACAATAGCCATAAACAGACGATAAATATATAAATATACGTGCTTTTATTGCAATCCCATAAATTTAACGTATATGATATATCTAATATATAAAATTCTCGTATCACGGTGTTTGTAATTGAACTCCTACGAAACTGCTCGACCGATTTTCATGAAATTTTGTGTGCATATCGGCCAGGGTGGACAAAATCTATTTTTCATCCCCCTAAATGTTAAGGGTGGTCCACCCCAAACATTTTTTTCTACCCTACAAATAATTTATATGGCAAAACGTTTGCCGGGTCAGCTTGTTTGCTATATAATAAATAACCTTCGAGGAGCACTTCTTTTCCCGTTTTGTCTAGGGAGTGAGGTAACCGGGGCCCACGTTTGTATACGTTGGCAAGCATCAACAGACCCGGGTGAGTATATCATTTAACATCAGGTGAACCGCTAGTTCACTTGCCAACTTATATGACTAAAGAGTTATAATCGAGAGAGAGATTGAGGTTATCTTAGTATGTATAATTCCTTTGTGCTTGTGTACCATGTGACTGAACTCTTCCTAAACGGCTTGACCGATTTTGTTGAATTTTTTTGTGTGTTCAAGTGGATTTTAGAATCGTTTAAATTTATAATTCGGTCTACTACAAAATATTGAATTAATTTTTTTATTTACAAGTTGTTTTAGGATTTAAACGCGTGTAGGACAGCGTCTGTCGGGTCCGCTAGTAGATATATAATATTAGCATTAAACAGAGGCTAGATCCGCATAGCTGTTCTCAAAATCTACTAATTCACATTAAATAGAGCAACACACATTTGATGACTCCTTGGCGCAGTTGCCAAGGTATTGACTTCGGCGTCGGGGGTCGTGGGTTCGATTCCCACTATTTGTCCCACGGGACAACTATTTGTGTGACCCACAGATAGTTGTTTCGCATCTGGGTGTTTGTCCGCGTGAAATTTATCTTTGTAAAACGTCCTTACAACACAGGATAATATTATCCTAAAGTAAGAGCAATTAAAAAAAAACATTGTTTAATATACGACAAATGATTAACCGTTATTACGTGTCTAAAAATAACGTTCAACAAGTAAGGATATAATTACAACTGTGATATCAAATCGATTGCGCGTCATTTGTTTTTTGTAACTGGCATGAATCCGCCACAGACGGAAACTATAGTTTATCTATCTGTATAATTATGTGCGTATAAAAATTTTACTTCCGTATGTTTGTTTTTACAAAACTCAAATACCAGCTGATTGATTGATTTGATATTTGTTCACATAGCTATTTAACAAGACAATGTTTATACATATTTTTTATTCCGAAGTTCCAACGGAAGCTAAAAAGACCACAACGAAACTTGGCCGGGTTTAGCTAGTATATTAATAAAAAGGGCAATATATATTTTATAGCACCGTTGATATTCTGATGCAACATTTATTTATGACGTACTAGCGACCCGCCCCGGCTTCGCACGGGTGCAATGTAGATACTAATGTGGGGCAGTGTGGTGTGATGAATAATATTTCATCATTAGTTTATACTACAGGATATGTTTATATACAATGTTTACAGCTGATTTTTCATGACATGTTTGTTACTACATCACATTACAAATCTTTAAATTACTCGGCTTAATTATTACAAAATACATATAATCCATCCCCTTGAATCAGTTTGTCTATTGCGGAAAACTGCGTTAAACTCCCTTGCGTAGTTCAAAGACCTAAGCATACAAAGAGCGAGATAGACTGGTTTATACTATGTAAAGATTATTACTGAAGTGAAAACTCTCTTAGCGTAATAAAAACAAATCTTGGTAGTAAACTAACTGTGGTGCGGCCACGCTGTTGCAGAAATGTGTGACTGTGGGCCACGCAGCAGCCTTCGTTGTGGCACGAATGGGCAGGGTCGCCCGGGGAAGTACCGCGGCCTCACACAAGATGAGGAGGAAGTGGAAGTATTACACTTCTGCGTTTCATCTGCATGTTTGGGTTCCCTTTGCCAACTATTTGTGTGACCCACAGATAGTTGTTTCGCATCTGGATGTTTGTCCGCGTGAAAGTTATTTTTGTAAAACGTTGTTACAACACAGGATAATGTTATCCTAAAATAAGGGCAATTGTTTTTTCTTGTTTTCTATTGTGCTCAGAGCAGAGACATTTTTAAATTCATATGTTGTTAATTTATGTATAATTTACTTTGTCTTGAAATTTATTGCACTAACTAGATAAATTTAGGATGTCGTAACAGACAAATTTTTCTTTTTCCTCATTTTATTGCATGGTAAAATTGTAATGGCTCTAACGACCGATTGATGTAACTTTTTTTTTTTTTCTCTAAGGTTGTACATTTTGGCGTTCAGAAGATGAACGTGTAAATAAATCTATTTTCCGTTGGCAGGCGGTTGCGATGCAGTGGTGAGAACGGCGTGATGATGAGGCTCGAGGCATCAGAGAAACAGCACCGCTACCACAACCTGCTGGACGATGACCACGCCAGTGAGTACATAGCACTTCTGTGGTAGGACCACACCAACTTTGCTCAGCGGATAGTTCAACGTCTCGTGGTTGGATCACAGTCTCAACCTTATGTGAGTGGCCCTACCACCACTTTACGGTGGTAGGGCCACGCAGCAGCCTCGGCTGTTGCACGAATGGGCAAGCTCGTCCGGATAAGTACCACCACCTCACAGAAGACCGGCGTAAAGTGGAAGCATGACAAATACTTTCGCGTTTCGTCTGGTGGGTGAGGTAGCCGGAGCCCAATTTTCGAAAGGTTGTCAACGCATCTGTAATCCTCGGTTGTGGCAGATGTCCATGGGCGGCGGTATTCACTTAACATCAGGTGAACCGTCTGCTCGTTTTACAATTTTTCGCATAAAAAAAAATCCTTGCTGGGTAGCAATATAGCTGCTGCAATTGGCCTGCCAATTCGTGCAACATATTCTGCAGCGTGTACTATTAGGACTGTACAGTTTTTTGAGCAGAGATTAAAGGTAGTAGTATTGTTTTCGCGGTGAATTCGCACAATACAGCCGTCACAGTCTAATTGCGTCGTTCATTATAACGTTTCGCCCCGCGGTACTTCGACATGTACACATGATACGTCACCGTTGTGCCTACATTTTGAACCTATTCACCGTTTTACCTATACTAATATGATAAAGCTGAAGACTTTGTTAGGACGCGCTAATTTCTGAAACTACCAGTCGGATTTGAAAAGATCTTTTTGCATTTTATTGAGCAATTCTTTGGGAAAGTTATAGCGTATGTAACATCACGCTACAACTTACGGGGTCTAGGCAGAAACGTTTCTCGCCGATGGAAACGCATGAAACATCAAACTAAATCAAATGAACCCACAAAACTACAAATCAAAATGAGCACAATAGAATGAGATCTATTTTTGCGCATTTAACATACTTGCGTCCATTGTCAAGGAACAGATTGTCGTATTTATCGTCATTAGTTTGTCACTTCATATGTGTTTGTAAGTCGTGATTAGACGCATGAATCGCATGCTCACTATAAATTTGCAATACACCCATTTGTCAGTATTTGTAGAAGAGATGTAATTGTTCGTATTGTTAGCTCGACCTGTAGGCGTTAGTTCTCCCATGTTTAAGTCACATCAAGCGACGGGTACACTCGTGACATAATGCCCATTTTTACGACTGTAACGCTCACGCAACGGCAATTACGCGGCCGTTTTGCCTTAATAATGTTTACGTAAATTATATAAGACCGGCAAATGGCTCTTTGAGATACATCGAGGGTACCTACTTTTTATAAGCATGTCATGCTAAATAGGTTTTTTTCAACGTAGAAAGGTTCAAAGTGATTCAAATGATATTATTAGTATTTCATATGTATTCTTAAACGAATATCACTCGTTGCTGTAATATGACAGGCAAGTTCAGACATGAAAGTATAATGCCCGGTTTCTGAAACACCGATCGTCGTAGAAGTTAACTAATCAGCCGTCAAATGGCTTTTCAAATGTTATTTGAGTTGCCAAAAGGATTGTTAAACTCTTTGAATTGATCATTCTGATCATCAAGAAGGTCATTCTGATCACTAAAATACATAAAAAAAGCAATGCAACCGAATTGAGAACCTCCTTTTTTGAAGTCGGTTGAAAACGAACTCGCGTCTGTGTGCAAGCAATGCGACCCACCTGACAATTCAAAACCGCTCCCGCTTCCTGCCGCCGCGTCCGGTGCTTTGTGCGCCGGATTCGAACCCACGATTCGCATCGCTGACCCGGCTAACAGACACAGCTAGAGGTCACCAGCAGTCCGTCGCATATGGAACGCTTATGAGGAGGAAATAAGCAATAGCTTCTGTCGTAACAAGGGTAAACAGATTTCTTGCTGCTTGTTCAATGCAAAATAAAGAAGAAAGAAATATTTTCTTCTTTAATACTTGCACTTTATTGTTACAAAACGTAGTAAATTTAAAGATCTGGCAGTAGGGATCGCGTGGCGGACTGTGTCTAAATAAAAATACCTCGAAGTCATCTTTTCCATATTTGAATCAAATCAAATCATTTATTCATCGAAATATGAAACATATATTTCATCTATCGATAGTTTTTTTTAAATCTTCCACCGGAAGAACAAACGGAGAAGAAACGGGCTGAAGAACCTCCGAAAAGGCTCTTTGAAAAGGCTCTTTTTGTCATTTTTGGGGTAAAACGGGACCCTAATGTGTTTCTTTTGTCGCTATCACAACAAATACTAAAAAATATAATAAAACAATATTTAAGTGGGGCTCCCATACAAACAGACATGATTTATTTGCCGTTTTTATAGATATTGATACGGCACCTTTCGTGCGCGAGTCCGAATAGCACTTGGCCGGTTTTTTTTTTTTTTTTTTTAACTTTCCGCGTGTTATACAGTACCTGTTATTTTTCGTTATAACGCTGAAGACAAGCAAGCAAGCAAGCAAATAAGAGACATTGAAACGTGCAAATGCTCGTGCGTGACGTAACGTGCAATTAGACACGCGAGGAATTGTCATGCATAAAGCTATTAGTAGCGGCCACGTCGCACGACCCAGGGCCACCTCTTCTCGCTTTGACGAATAAGAAAGCAACCTCTTTATGTGTGAAGCGGTCAGGGCAGTGGGTTCACCTGATGTTAAGCGAGTCCGTCATGATCTCTGGTGGCCACCTTCGTGGCTACGAAGCAGCGTCTGCTGTTGTACGAATGGGCAAGCACCTCCGAGGAAGTACCACGACCTCACGGAAGACCGGCGTGAAGTGCAAGTGTTATACTTTCGCGTTATAGTTGGCCATGCATCTGCAAACCGTCAGGTGTTCAACATGCCCATTGGCGGAGATAATCATTTACACGTATATGCAGATACTTAGTCCCGGGCAAACATCTTCTATATGTAGGCTTCTGGATGAAGAGGATCTATCCAAATTGGCTAGGCAGAAACAGATCAGATTATATATTCAATGGCAATGAAAATGTAAAATGAAGGAATTAGTTTAAGGAAACGGTTCGAAAAATAAGTAAAAACAAATTGATAAAACAAGTAGAATATAATTTAAAAAACTAAAAAACCCGACAGCGTTTCTCTGCATTTTTTTCTTATTTTGATATACCCAGTGTCACTCTCACAGTGAATACGAATCTAACAACACCTCTCAAGATAAAATCCATCAAGCCTTTTAGGCTGCAGAGGGTGGCAAACAATTATACATACATACATACTCTCGACGAACATAACCCTTCTTCTCAGTCGGTAAAAATGTCCCACCTGCAATATGCGTTAACCCTATAAGTCAACATTGTTGTGCTGCGCTCATAACGTTTTGATTGTACCAACAGATTAAAACAGGTCAGATTAAAACAGGTTTTATGTACGCGTCGTTCACAATTGTTATTAGAATAGCCCGGTTTCGGTTTTTCTCTGAAATGCTTTACTGACTATTGCTAGAAAATGTACAGTGGTTGCACTATTTCTATTATATCTTAAATCCGTGGAAACGTAGCTATAATATAGCGGTAGCTTAATCTTTAAACTCCACTTTAATCTTAAAACTCGACGAAGAAATCAGTTTTAGTTGACTAGTACTGGATATAATAAAAAAGAAAACAACAACAATTTTCTTTTGGGCAACATTTAATGAACCGTCATTCATAGAAGGACATTTAAGGTTTTAAATGATGATGATACCTTAATCAGCTGTTTAGCATGCAGTAGTAAAGTCTCTATTGGCGGTAGGGCTACGCAACACTGTTGCACGAATGGGCAGGTCCGTCCGGGTAAGTACCACGACCTCACAGAAGACGTGTTACACTTCTGCGCTTCGTTTGGTGAGTGAAGTCCGGGGCTTCCTTTAAAGGTGGCAACGCATCTGCAACCCAACGGGTGTTGCAAAGGTTCATGGGCGGCGGTTGTCACTTGACATCAGGTGAACCGCCAGCTCGTTTGCCACTTTCACACATAAAAAAAAGAGCGAGTCTCTATTAGTTCATCTTAACATTTGCCATAAACATTTGCAACACCTGTAGTTAGGGGCGTTGTCGTCTTTTAATAAAGTAGGCCTCGGCTACCTCACATACCAGAGGAAACGTAGAAGTATAATACTTCTGCTTTACGCCGGATTTATATGAGGTCGTGGTACTTACCGGGCGGACCTGCGCATTCGTGCAATAGTGCAGACTGTCGCGTGGCCCTACAAAGTAAGCCGCTTTAAAATAGTAAAAATGCTGAGGTTTCAAGCCAACTCCCCTCGTTCAAATGACCTATCGTACCACTAATAAATTTAGTTTGGATCGAGCTGGGGGAGTCCAACGACCACTGCCACCCAGAAAGATCTATTGTAGTGTCCCATTCGAAAACATTGCCCCCTACTGGAGGATAACAGGATGTTTTACATTCATAAACACGTGGACAAACACCCAGATCCGAAACAACTATCCGTGGGTCACACAAATAGTCTCGTGTGGGAATCGAACCCACAACCCCGGCGCCAATATCATGGAAACCGCCACTGAGCCCCATCGATGGTGATGCTCTAGTTTAATCTAATTTAACTTGCAACAGAACGAGGTATGTAATGACAGGTTTGCGCAAATTGACAGATTAAGTGTGGAAGCCTGTACTGTTATTCGTATCTAACGTAACGTGATATTAAGCAATTAAGTTCGTAAGCTGCACCGTTTACGGTTCACCGACCTTTTGACGTGTTAATGTTTTTTTTTTCTGTCGGTTGCGTCTGAGTTTTGCAATACGGTGCGTTGTATGCGCGATATGTTTACGTTTAATAGGTGTGCTGCAATACTGGCAGAAATGGGTAAAACTAAAGTAACAGTCTGTATTTATATAGAAATTGGTTCTGTATATTTATATATAGTTTTTATGAGTATACTATGGAAGTGCGGTGCTGCCTAACACAAGCAAACTTTTGCTTAAAAGGTAGCTCCAAATATTTATAACTGTAACAGAAGTAAGTTAATGTAATAAACATTTTTCTATTT